GACAACACACCCTGCAAACACGCTATATATCGGATCTCTGCGGCATGACTGTGCTTCCGCGTTTCACTATCTCCATAAGCTTCTGCAGCTTGATGCTGCCCACAACTCTAGACCTGTCACAACCGTCCCAGGACCTTCATCTCGCCACGCATCCACAAAATTCTGGTCTGGTACCAAGACCAGCGTGGACATCTTTGATTGGACAACTGCACTCATTTCTGCAGCAAACGACAAGCGGACCTCCACATCCACCCTTGTCACGCTTTTTGAGCGCGCACGCGAACGAACGAAGCAGTTCAGACCCACTGTTGTCACATATACCGTCGTGCTTCGTGGTTTACTCTTCCGAGGAGTTTTCGATGAGGCCTTAAAGATATGGAATCAGTTGCTCGATTCAGATCTTTTACTTGATCGCAAGGCACTGACTGTGGGTGTACAAGTCCTTGCTCGTGCAGGGCAACCGCAGGATGCATTCTACCTTCTGAACTCGTTCATGGATGCACAGCGCACCTCTTCGCATCCAGCATCCCTTCCAAATGACAAACATATCGCCCCAGCAGTCCATCATTGGATCAATATCATCGTCATCAACGAGTTCATGGTCTCCCTGCTGCGCATTCGCCGCCCAGATGTCATCTTCCAGCTGTGGGACCACCTCGAACAGCTCTATTCTGTACTTCCAAACGAAGCCACGTTAAACATCCTCCTCAAATCTGCCGTGCTCGCAACCAAGATGGATAATGAGTCTGTGCGAGGGACATTCGCGCACTTGTTCCATACGCCTACAGCAGAGTCCAGCAGCCCTATCGACTTGATCATGGAACAACTTCAGTCTGCGCATCCGCCGTCAGTCGTTGGGATCTGGAAGGACCGCCGCGCGGGTGACGTAGCTCGAGACATATTCCGTACTATAATGTATGGAAATTGGAAGCGGCTCCTAGATGTGAAGGCACCCGCTTCCGTCGTGCACTCTCAGAACGCTGAGGCTACCCCTCTTTACCCGCTAGTGGAACTAGCCAAAAGCATTACAATACCGTTCTCCACGCGCAAAGACCGTGATGCGCAACTGAAAATCATTCCCGCGGATGTCCATTCACCCGAAAAGAAGCCATACCATCCCTATCTGTCTATCGTACCCACCGACCTGACCTTCTCGACCTACATTCAGCTTCTGGGTTTCACTGGGCGCGCGTCAGAAATTTCGCTTACACTCGCGTGGATGCGCGCGCTCCAGATAAATCCCTCGCGCAACACATTGTCCATCGCGCTCGTGTTCTGGGCTGAGGTATCCTTACATGGTCCATTATTCGAGGAATGGGCGGAACGACGAAAGAAAGGGGAGAGTGAATATGGGCGGCTGGTTAGATGGATGACTGAGTGGGTTGGGGAGGAGGCTCCGACAGAGTCGGACATACAAAAGGCGTTGAGAGCGGTGGCCAAGATGAGAGACAGTTCTTTTGGTCGATCATGATGTACGATATTCCATATTTTAATGCCGGGTTTGTTTGTTGAAGTTGATGCAGCAGCCACTAAGCTCTGAGACATCCTACAATCATTTGCCTCACGACAAGCAAAAAGACACCACGAAAAATACATATCACTAGTTGGCAAATTATCCGCGAATCTTGAGCGAAGATGAAATAGTACAGGGAGGAAATAATGGATTGACTAAAGCAGGGAAACTGTTAGTAACGGAGGAAAGAATCAGTGACTCGAACATACACCTACTACTGACAGTTTCTGTCCATCAGGAAAGCAACATACCAAGAAGGTTCCGTTGTGAACGGAGAAGATAATTTCTAATGATAAGTGGGAGGTCAGCCGAGGCGATTGAGCCGCAACTTGGGCCACAGCTTTGACGTTTCAGCATCTCAGCCCAGGAGGGTTGCTTTTCAAGTGGTCTGTCAAGGATTATCTCGAATGGCGTGTTCAATTGTCGCAGCCTGAGAAGGAGACGGTATAAGTATTATTTCAATACACATCAGAGACAGACTCACCTTCGAGTTACCCGGGGTTGGAGGTTGGAGGAAAAAATGAAGGAAAGCAGGAACTATCGCTCATAGAGGACGAGTCGGAAAAAGTTATGGGCACACTGCGCAGCAGCGACTAATGTGGCTCGTACATCCAGAGAGATCAACGCCTCAAAGGACGAGTAAAGGAACTTCGTCGTTCAATGATATCCTCACATAGTCGTGATCCTTCTCATTGTCCAAACCGAGATTATGTGGCATTACTCGGTTTTGATGTTCCACCGGAGTGGGCTTAATCGCGCTGTCTACCTCGGCTCATGCGCATGTTGGCGAGGAAGCAGTGTGTCACGACCGGACCTGGCGGCACTGAGGGGGCGAGCATGATGGAACGTCGGCCAGGCACCCTGCAACCTAAACCAGATGCGGAGACTGGGCTTGGCGGGCATCATCGGTCTCATGAACAGGGGTCCCACTCGAGCTCAGAGCAACAAGAGTGTTGAGTTAACGTAGGTCTGGTGCCATCGAAAGCCATGGTGCGGTGGCCAGACCTGTGAGATGCTGAGGCCTCGAGTGTTAAACATCAAAATGTTGATGTCCATTAAAAGGCTCGCTTTGGAAACCTAGGCGTGAATAATAAAGCAGCGTCAGTGGTGAGGCTGGCAGGTGTGGCTGACAAGACATACTAGCAGCTGTTGCGTCCTATGATGCCGGGCCCTGGGTACGATGAAGAAAACAAAGCGTTAGTCGTCTGCTACATAGACAGCGAGCACGACACATACTCTTGTGGTGCTGAGCGTGGGAGATGAAGGACAGGGCTGCTGGCGAAAATGACCAGAGTGTCAGATGGTGCCAGCGCCACTGCATGTACCTCATGGTCACATACCTTGGTCGAATATCCAGCATGGGATGAGGAGGTTGAAAGCTATGTGAAGATGAACGGGTAGAAGAAAGAGCGGATGAAGAAGTGAAGCAGGGTCTATGGTGTTTATATACTACAAGCAAGCGGCTGACATTATCTGGTTTAGGATGTGATAGAGCAATGATGCTATCTGAGAGGGGTAAATTCGCCAAATGCGGATTTGTCGCTCAGATCTGCAGAGACAACACTGACATCAGTAGCTGCACGATGATACACCAAATGTTTCGAAATTTGTTGCTCCTCCAGGTCCTAGTTCGGTCTGGGCGTTTCAAAAGGAACTGTATCTTCGAGCACATATGGTTTCCAGATCTGCAGGGTTTTCATACTATTGCATACACATTGATAACCATCTAGACGCATGTATTCACCAACGTTATGTTTTTGGCCGGCCAACTTGAAGCTTGGAAATATTCATCGGCAATGTAGTGGACAAATACCATCAAGGCTAGTACTTAGTAGTATCATTACAAGTCTCCAAAGATCCTTGGCAAGTGACAACAATCAACAAGGGGTTCGCCGACAGCCCATTTGGGAACCTGACTAGTCATGAATAAAGAAGCGTGATGAACAAATATTCGAACAAGATGAAATCACAGTATCACACCATCGATCCTCCGCGAGTCACGACCGGCTCTTGCGTCGACGAGCAGATATTATGCTACCCTCGGTGGAAGAAACATTCGCACCGAAGTGGTGAAGAACTGCGACCCTGATGTCGTTGTGAAGAGTTATGATCATAAATCATCGCACCTGTAATTAGTGTTGCCGCGGCTCCGGCTTACTGCCGGTTTTAGCCGCGGCCGGAGCCGTGGATAGCTGAGCTGAGTGCGAGGTTATAGCTTACATAATGTACGGCCTGGCCTGGTTGGACTAGCCGTAGTTAAGGCTAGCTAAGGCTTCAATCCGGCTCAAATGGATTAAATTAAATATATTTTAAATTAAAACTGAAAATACACGAAGAATCAGCTTCAAGTGCTAAAGAAGGAAGCTGTGGCCTGTAGCCTGTATCCTTGCGTCAATCACACCAATCGCAACAATATACCTTGAAGATCTGACCTCAATGGGCCCTCAAAAGAAGGCAAGTGTCCTCGCCGATGTTCGATCAAACGCTAAAACGATTTTAGCTCTACGGCAGCGCTAATCGCGTGCCAAAAATAAAAAAAGATCATACCAATGATGAAGCTCTGTGCAGATGCGCATCAAGGATGAGAGACGGGCATCGAGGGGGAGACGCGGATGGAGGGAGAGACGTGGATCGAAGGAGGGACACGGATCGAAGGAGAAACGCGGATGGAGAGAGAGACGCGGATGGAGGAAGATGTGTGGATCGAGGGTCCGTTGTTGAGGGGGGTCAAAGGATCATTGTCGACAGGCCGTCGAGGTCGAAATCGAAGTGGCGATGCTGGCTTTTGAGGATGTGTTGTCGTGAGGTGTGAGAGGAGGCGGAGAATTTTGCGATGTGGAGGATAATGCACCGGGTATCCTGTGTAAGAGTAGATATGAGTGTCACCTGCTAGTGCTTCAACGAAATAACGACTCACCATACGCTGATGTCATGAGTCGCTGGAAGTACCTGGGGGCTGGTGCGAAGATGATATATAGAACTCCTGTAATATTAATTGAGACAGAAAATAATATGTTCGCTCAGCGAAGTCCGTATGATGTATGTAGACGAAATACCACTCACCAATTTGCAATACAGACCACAAGCATTGCAATTCAATTCATCGTTCGAGCCCCTTCTTCATAGTGGGGTATGGTATTATCTAGAATTAGCAGCGAAGTCTGTACAATGTATATAGACGAAATACCACTCACCAATTTGCAATACAGACCGCAAGCATTGCAATTCAATTTGTCGTTCAAGCCCCTTCTTCATAGTGGGGTATGGCATTATCTAGAATGAGCAATGAAGTCCGTATGGTGTATATAGACGAAATATTACTCACCAATTTACAATACAGACCACAAGTGTTGCAGTTCAATTCATCGTTCATAGTGGGGTATGGTATTATCTAGAATTAGCAGCGAAGTCTGTACAATGTATATAGACGAAATACCACTCACCAATTTGCAATACAGACCGCAAGCATTGCAATTCAATTTGTCGTTCAAGCCCCTTCTTCATAGTGGGGTATGGCATTATCTAGAATGAGCAATGAAGTCCGTATGGTGTATATAGACGAAATATTACTCACCAATTTACAATACAGACCACAAGTGTTGCAGTTCAATTCATCGTTTGAGCCCCTTCTCCATAGTGGGGCATGGAATCATCAGAAACAGCAGCTTAAAGTAAACATTGTTAAGACACGCTCTTGGACTCATGAATCAACCTAGCAGAGAAAAGAGTCAACAATCAAAATCAAGATAATGAGAGTCAGACAGACGTAGCGTAAGCAAGTACTAGGTAGTGGTACACAAAATTATAAAGGAGGCAGAAAAACGTCAGGAATAGAGGGCAGGAACATCGGGAATGCTGTCACATTCATCTGCTGCTATGGCTTTGAGAAGAGCGTCGTGTTGGTGACTGCTGCCGGTACTTCCGGCAGATGACAAAAGTTCCTCATGGTGCGTGTCATCCAACTCCAGTGTGCACTGTATTTGAGTGAAGTACTCCATCTCCCGCTCTGATGCTGCCCACCCTTTGACGAAGTCAAGTCGTTCTTTCTTCAGCAAGAACTTCAGCATCTGCAGGATCTCCATCATAGCAGGGCTGAGGCGATTGCGCTTTTTTGTGCACGTCTCGCTGCTTGATGAGAAAATATGTTCGCAGGGAACAGCGGAGGCCTGGATGGGCAGATAATCCATTGCAAGGCTGTAGATGGTAAGAAACAGCGATTTTGAACTCTGGTCAACATATGATTAATAATGAACAGAAGTGACTCAATATGAAAAACTCACATTCCAAAATGCGAGCACGTCGGTTCCTTGAGGGCTAACATGAGACATACTGTACATATTAAATTCCTCGTCAGCTGTTTGAACACCGAGATGGTGACGCGATGGCAAGTCAACATCAGGAATACCATAAATTTGCACACCCAAGGTTCCAGTGTGTGATTGGCGAGCTGGTGTTTCTACCAGTGGACATTGAGTAGAGTCAGCTCTCTTCTCCCGCAGCTGTGGGACATGTTAACTTAAAGATGCGTTGTTTGAGTCAATGTAGACGTACCAGCCTCATAATAGATTCCCTGGCAGTGCGAGCTCATTCTTCGCCCCAGTGAGCATCAATCCACGACAAACGTAATGTAGGGTCGACGACTATAAGAATTGTGAGAGATTGACCGACCCGTACCCAGACCAAACTCACACATCGCAATTGCATACACATTTGTCTTGCTCATCTTGTGGCCATATTTGTCTGCCCACGCTAGGCCTACATTGATTATAGGCACACAATGTGTGGCTATCCGGGCTATCCCTTCCCATTGTTCCATCAAATGTTCCAAGGCGGAGACTGCACCACTCAGCATAGGGGTGCTTTCACTAGACATTGATTGTTGGCACACATGGGGTGCCTGATATAGATTAACACACATCATAGGTGTTTCAATGATGTCGACACTGACCTCTAAGATCACTTTGAGGTCTTGCAAGACCATCCACTCCGTTGGACTCAACCCATGTTCGGTTAAGTTGTTTTGAGTTGCAAGGTAGCAATCAATAGCCTGGGTCACTGTGAGTTTGTAAAAATATTACACAAGATAATGTCTTACCGGGCGAAGTGTTCGAAGACGATTGAGCATGAGTCGTTGGCCTGATGCACGGATGACACGCACAAGATGCTTGCCTCGCTTGACAGGTTGAAATGTTAGAGCTTCTGAATACAACTCCTTTTTGACAATCACATTGCAGGCTAGCCACTGGGCGGGCGCTGTTGAAAATCCACGGAATGATAGCTGGCGATGATGTGCTGAATGCAAATATTAATGATGTGTGGGAAACACGGGATCTTGCGATCAACAGGATCAAACTCGATACCGCGTTCCAACAGCAGATGAGAAAGCTCGACCATGGCAGTCTGATTATTGGTTGCGTTATCTAAAGTAAAATGGCCGATCTAGATCAAGTCAGAATATGTTACACGGTGTAGTTAATCACTAACCTTGTCCGTTACTTCTGCACGGTCCAGGAGCCCTAATATGATTGCAGCGAGTGATACCCCATCGTGTGAACCAGGAATATGGGTGAAAGCTATAAGGCCAGCCTTGAGGATGAGCTTTGATGCTTGCTGGGCAATCCAGTGAGCCGTCAATGCCATGAATGGACAGCAATTCTCGTCTGACCAGAGGTCAGAGGTAAACGATATCTTCCCCTCCGCTTTCTGAAAGAACATAAGATATTTTGTGAGATAAAATAGTCGTACACTTACTGCCATATCTTGCTTTAAAGCATCGAAATATTTGTACCATGTTTCTACTATTAACTTGCATAGTTTTGTCCGATGAGGGATGTCGGACTCCCGTAGATCTTTTCGCAGCAGTCGGAGTAACCTTCGGAATTCAGGGCATTCCATTAAGTTCATCGCCTAAAAATGTCAATTAATAACAACATTGTAGAAACACTGGAAGCATGAAAGACTTTTCCAGCATGAAAAATCTTGAAAAAATCCTAAAAAAGGTTTAAATAAATTTCATGATTCTGTTGCCTGCAAAATGCTGGTCAAAATTTGAACTTTCTATCTACTTTTTCGTGATGCAAAAGGTTGATCTTAGTTAAATCTTAAGTCACTGTTCATCCACAATATTGTCTCAACACGTAGTTTAACCATTTGAACAATTTTTCTCTGGTACAAACCTAGACAAAACTTTGACTTTGTGGTGTGATAGTGAATAAACTTTTGAATAACTTTTGTCAACATTTGTTCGACCATAAAAGTTGATGTTTTTATCACCCTTTTTTTAATGTTTTTGTTACCTAGATATCTTGGATGAATTTTTTATAATGCATCAGATAATATTCAATGTAGTAATCAAGCTTAGATCAACATTTTGTCTCTCACTTTTGTTTACCTTTGTTCAAGATTCAAGCAGACTTCTTATGCCGTTATTATTTTATATCAAAAACAATGCAATGCATTAACTTTGTTACAGTTAGATATATTAATCTTACAGTGAATCAAAAGTTTGTTGGGATTTAGAATGCTTTCAGGAGAGAATTTTGTGTTGTAACATCAGTTAAAGCTTATTAGTATTTTAAGTGTGGTCAGGAGAAGGATTTAAAATGATGTTACTAATCATGAATGACATGCAAGGCCACTCGCAGCAGAGCCTGCTTTTCTGAGGTATGTATACTGCTGTAGCGGGAATCAGTAGATTCAGATCCACATTTGTGCGGAAAGAAGATTAAGCTTTTGTTGCTTTTGCCTGTGAGTTCGAGCCCGAGAGCGACCATTATGCATGTCATGAATAAAAAATACAAGAACATTGTAGCCAATGATTTATCAAGTGTAAAGTAGTCTCAATTCCAGCATTCCGATCAGCATCAGTGGTTATCCGCACCTGGCCACCCCCATCTAATGAGCCGAGTTGCTCCATCATGCCACGACTGTACTCTGGGGCTAGCTAGTGTGGACGTAGTAGAACCACGAGTGCCAACAAAGGTTCCATTCGACTGAATGATAGCGTCGAGGAGCACCGGATGCCTTATAACAGCCACAACTTTTAGCGTCAGAATGAAAATATGACATCTAATCCGCTCACCATTTTCCATAGATCACCTCCGTCTGCTCTGCTACATAATCTACCCACATCCACCCCAATGCCCTAACATCTGACTATCACTCCGGGTCCCTTTCGTCGCTCATCATGGCAGCCTTAATCCCTTTTCGTGTGCGAAACTCTTCTTGCACCTCAGACACCCTGAGTGCAATGTCAGACAATGGGGCAAAGCACTGATCCACTGGGAACTCCTTGCATTGTTGGCTGAAGTCACCATACCGTATGTGGATCGATATATACTCAAGTTAGATCTGTAGAGCAACTTATACCCAAAACTTTCACTCACGGGAGGAGTTGGCTTGTATGATGGGCGCTCGTGTAGTGAAGTAAATCAAAGGATAATATGTGATCGTCCGGAGGAAGGGAAACCTAGTGCTGAGGAGAAGGACAATTTGTGAATGATAATTCCAGGCTTTTCAAGCGAGTTTCTAGAAACCTGAGTGATGCGAGAGACCAAAAGAGTGCGTGATTGTGGTGTATGCTAGGAGATGTCAGCTCAACCCAAGCTGGGGTTTGTGTCCATGAGACATCTGCGATGGCCACGCATTTAATCACTGAAGAGGGATGTTCGAAGTTGTCTCACCGAGTTTGAGCAGGTTCAGAGAGCGAATTCGTTGTGGTGTTTGGTTGCCAGAGTTGACGTGCTCCATCCTACTGAAGTCCACGATATAATGTACTTCGTGTCGTTGCAAAGGTTATCTGAGACCAATCTTATGCATATGGTGAGACCCAAGCCTTGGACGTTTTCACTGAATACTGACCTCGAGAAGAACTGATGAGACTGTAGCAATACAAAATGGCCCTGTATCTGGAGTTGAGGACGGACTGTTAGGTAGAGCACGCTTAGTCAGTGCACTAGTAAAGCTTTGACAAATTTGAAAGTTTCAACTGAACTTATAAATCCTGTCACTGCAAATGAAACCTGTCCGCCCTGGGGTGACAAACACATGTACTCATCTCTGTAATTTATGGCTTCAGCATCAGGTAGTGGCCCCGTGTTCAGGATTTGTAAACACGAGGCTAGTATCTGCTCCACTTTTGTTCTTCGGTTTTTCTTTGCGGCATTCTGTAAGAGGTGTCAGTGGTGAGGTGAGGTGAGGTGAGGTATAGAACGTCAGGCATACGTGAACAGTATACAAGCACGGGTGAATGAAAGGACAAGATGTTGAACCAGAAAGATGGAGATGACACACCCCAAGCAACAATGCTCTTCTCCCCTGTGCCTTCGAGAACCCCTCTTTCGTAAGCCCCACAAGCTGTTGAAGCAGCTCGTCCTGTCTATCTGTCAAGATCTTGAGGTGGTCTGTGAATATCGTGCGTTTGATGAGTTTCTGTGGGTCGACATGAGTCCGGATGTCCAGAAAATGAATACACTCACCCGCTGAGCTAGAATCCACATGAGTCCGGAATCCGGATGTCGATCCACGAGCGTGGATGCCAATCTGCATGAGTTCGGATGTCGATCCACGAGTCTGGATACAAATCCTGGTACAAGTATACGAGGCGTCTTGATTTTTGAAGACAAGTTCATGTCACGTCCAAAGTCGTACTGTACTGGTCTGCGCATGAATGAGTCCGGATGTCCAGAAAATGAATACACTCACCCACTGAGCTAAAATCCACATGAGTCCGGAATCCGGATGTCGATCCACGAGCGTGGATGCCAATCCGCATGAGTTCGGATGTCGATCCACGAGTCTGGATACAAATCCTGGTACAAGTATGAGGCGTCTTGATTTTTGAAGACAAGTTCATGCCTTCGGAGTCAGATGTGTGTGCTTTTGGAGGTGGTGGTGTGGGTTGACGTTGACCTGCAAAAGATAGGCGCAAAAATTTAGCGATTGTGAGGTGCGGGTCTAAGATTGGACATTCATTCCTAGTGTGCTTTACAGTAAATACTGATAAGGGTCTCTATGCCAAGACAACTACTGGAATATTATGACTGTGACGGAAAAGCAAACGGTCCGTGAAACAAGTAAATACTATTCTACGGCCACTTGTGACTGGAGCGCTAAAGTGAGCGAGGACCCGAGCTAAGACTGCCAATAGTTGACCGGGGCGAACGGGAATTTTGATGCCTAATTGCGGGACACAGAACTCCCCTCCCTCCCAGTCACCAACCGCAAAAACAAAAGCATAGAGCGCACGATCGTCATTCCAGTCGATGTGCACGACCCCTGACCCCGATTCTTTTGCGGCGATTGCAAAAAAAGGTCCTCCCATATCGAGATTTGGACGCAACTGGTATTTATGCCCGAGGTGCTGATGCGCACGAGTATACGCTCTAAAATTATTGGTGGGATCAATAAATCATGTCGATCATGATAACATAGACGTACTTTTGAATTGCCTCCCATTGGATCGGCGCATGATCCTTAAATACAGTGGAAACTTTGGGAGCGATGGCAGTTTTAATAAAAAACAAAAGGTCATCCATCGCCTTGATAGCCTCAAGAGACTGTGCCTCAGTCTCCGAAGTCAGGCGGGGCTGCGCACCAGTCACCTCCCATGTGCCAAAATGGTATGCGTCCGTAGCTGAGCGGTTTTTGTCTTTCTTGAGGAGGTGCTTCGGCTTGGTGTGCAATAAACGATCCCAACGGACCCGGAGGGCTTTTTGCTGTTCGTCTGTGATGAAGTGCTCGAATCTCATGATGAGGTACGGGGGGATATCATCAGGGACAGATGCTGGTGGGAGGTGATCAAGGGGAAAGAGAATTTTTCCTTTGGAAGGCAGTGTCTCGAGCTGCTGAGGCGTACTGGTAGCACTATATTTGCTTGTCACAATGCTCCGAACGGTTTTGCCGGACCGTTTGATGGCGAGAAAATCGGATGGGAAGTCTTTAATCTTGTGAATATCTAATAAAAGTTTGAGTTGGTCTAGAAGGGGTCCAAGACAGTCCACTTACATAAGTCCCTTTTTACGTATCCTTTCACCTTCTCAAGATCCCTTTTTTCTCCCCATCGCTTGTACCTTTTAGCACGACCGGCTTCGCTGCGACCTCCACGTCCCATGGTGAGACTTATAGCGGTAAACTTGAAAACATGTAAGTATAGGTGAAAATTGAGGATTACATAATTATTTGTACAATGGTTTGGCTGAAGATTGGGACTCCCGAATTGACCTTCGGAACGCTTCGGTGATCTGATACATAAGCTTCGCCTCAATATCATGTTGGACGATGTCCCCAACTCTTGAATCACGGGCAGGTGGCAAGTGATCTATGTTAACGAATGCGACTTTAGTCAGCCACAAGACCGAGGGCTTCTTCCACTTGCTCCTTGGATCCTTGGCCTCATCGACGACGAGCATCTCCTCGAACGCGCAAAAACTCGATCGAAGAAGTCGGGTGGAGGTGTCTCCTCGAGCGCACAAAACGCCATAATACGACGTATCGACATGAAAAGGCGTCAGATTCTCGACTTTCAAAGAAGACGAGTGAGCGAGAGATGTAGAAAAGAAGATGCGTACATCATGTGAGTATCGCTCGCTTAGTGAAGCACTTGTTAAGTTTGAAAGATATTGTGCACTGCGAAAAGCGCGTGAGATCGTGGGTGTACCCACAGGATATAATAATAGGTGTTGCGCAATGCGAGTTGA